CACAGCTTTTGCGCTAGACTATAATTCCAAGCTTAGAAGCTTGAATTCTAAACAATTCCCAGCAAATGTACCTCTTAAAGTTGACAGGCATCTTCTTTTCACAGCTGGTTTAGGGATAAACGCTTGTCCTTCTTGCTTAAATGGAACAAAACTAACTGCTTCTTTGAACAATATCACTTTTGTGATGCCTCAAATTGGTCTGCTTCAAGCTCATTACTTCAAAATCAAAGGTGTTTTTAGAACAGATTTTCCAGATAATCCTCCAACTCCATTTAATTACACTGGTGCTCCTCTTACTGCTAATCTTGGCACTACCTTAGGCACTAGGCTTAGTAAAATTGCTTATAATTCAACAGTGCAATTAGTACTGCAAGACACAAATCTTCTTACTGTCGAATCTCACCCTTTTCATTTACATGGCTACAATTTCTTTGTTGTGGGAACTGGAATTGGAAATTTTGATCCTAAGAAGGATCCTGCAAAATTTAACTTGGTTGATCCTCCTGAAAGAAACACAGTTGGAGTACCTACTGGGGGATGGACTGCAGTAAGGTTCCGCGCAGATAATCCAGGTACTTATTATATTAATAAAAGTACTTAAAAAGTTCAAATAAACTCTAAATCAGCAATTTAGTGTCTTGATTTGCTTTTGTTTTGGTTTTTAGGGGTTTGGTTTATGCATTGTCACTTGGAACTACATACAAGCTGGGGTTTGAAAACAGCATTTGTTGTTGAGAATGGAAATGGACCAGATGAATCTGTATTGCCTCCACCTCAGGATCTCCCTCTGTGTTGATAAACAGAGTGTTCAAAGAGAATGGTTAACTATCTTTTGAAATGACAATTCCCATTTCATAATTCCTTGAAGAGGTGAAATAATTAGATTGGAGGCTCATTTACCAAAATAGGTAACATAATTAAACATTTCAATTTGTAACCAATTGAAATTGTAATTGTAACTAAAAGTGAAATTGTTATGCAATAAAATTATTGTTCTGCAGTGGCATTGTTTTTAAGCCTGGCAAATTCTTCAGAAAAGCTTGTCATATGAAATATAAAATTCAACATGTGTAACCTCAAACAAGCTTTGATATTTCAAAGTAAGTGATAAAGGAACACTCTCCAACAAAAATTAATCTCTCACTCTCTAACTAATCTGTCCAAATATCAAATTACACAGAAAAACAAACACTACGAGACAGTCATCAAAATGCATTAAAACTCAAAATGACAGAAAAAACATTTAATTCTATTTACCAGTGTAAAACTTCATTCTTGCAGGAGAAAATCTCTATTACTTGTAGATATTGCCCGACTTTACTTCAAGAAGCCAAAATGGATACGAAAATTATCAACAGAATCAGCAAAAGTATACCAATCCAACAACCCCAGTTGTATCTCTTCTTTTTCATTTGCTTAGCATAGTATAGCCCATTGGTACCGCCATTAATGTAATTTGCACCACGAACTACGTTCTCTTCAATGTTATCGATCTCATCACCTTGAGTCTCTACCAAAACAGCCATATCAAGGAAAACTCGATGCAACTCAGTTAAGCTTCTTTGTATCTCCTTCAAAGCCTCATGCCTTTCTTGATTCTCCATTATCAAATCTTCTTTCCCTTCAAAAATCTTCCCTTGCCCTCCTCCTGCAAACATCTTCTCTAACAATTCCTCACTCGGTTGTTCACCAGTCACATTATAATAACTCCTTTGAAGCACTTCTTTATGATCGTTCAAGATCTTTGCTCTCAATTCTTGAAAATCATGCATCATGTCTTTCAATTTAATTCTCAAGCCATTGGTCACTGAAACCCGGGTTCTATCAATAGGGCTACCTTCTTTATAAGCCTTGGATAAGCTTCTATTCTCCTTATTAGACTTGTCAAGTGATTCCAATCTTGACTTGATACTCTTGGCTTTTTTTAGAATGGCGACCATATCTGAATTTATTCTATCTCTAATTCCTTTAAGCACTTTAGTACTGTGAGTGGATTTTGAGTCTTCATTTAGGCCTTGAAGGTCACGAAGAAGATTGGTTATTTCTTCCATGTCAATCTTGATTGCATTTACTTCTTCAAAGAATTTGGTGAGATTCTGTTCTTCAGTAGGGTTTAGTTGGCCCATTTCTATGTCATGTTCAGATTCCAGATCTTTCATGGCTTGTTTCTTGAGTTCTACGTAGTTGAGGAATGATTTAGTCATTAAATCATTCATTTTGCAGTCTATAAATACCCACCTGCAAAGATAGAATTTTTTGAGAATTGGAACAGTGTATAATAAAATTGACAAAAATTCAAGAGAAACAAGAAAGAAGAAACTATTAATTAATGTAAAAGGAAAATTTAGAAGAATACCACAAAAATCGATCAACAAGGAAAGATCGATTAAATTGTAGTAGTTGTTGCTTCTCTCTCCAACTAGAAACCTGAAACGAAAAAAGTAAAGAATCTGATTATAGAACAACAGGAGAAAAATAAACTGATAGAACACTTAAGACGATCTAAATAGGAACTATTATTTTATGTAAAAAAAAAAAAAAAAATTCGAAGAATCATAACAGAATATGAAATGTTAAACTTTCTTTTTCCAGTTCATTCGTTGCTTGATTTTCCCTGCAACCAAACGAAATTTGGGTCTGAAAATCTTATGATGAACATGATCAGCTTTGAGTTCTAAATTCTAAATTCAGTAACCCAACAAAGCAGAGTTCTTGAGTGGAAAACAAGAATCAGAAATGGCAATTCTAGAATTATCCTTTCAGTTCCAGAATTTCCAGTCTAAACTAGATTAATAAGGAAAGAAAGAAAGAAAGAAAGAAAGATGACGAAATTGAAGAAACCTTGAAGAAATTGATGATCTTGGCGGAGAAATAACAGTCTAAAGCTTTAATCTTTTATCGGGAAATGTCTCTTTGAGAAAGAGTTTTCAAAGAGAAGAAACCTGAACAAATGATGAGATTTGAGAGAAGGCTAGAATCTCTGCAACTTATAAGGGTAAAATCATATGAGATAGAGAGTAGGAGAGGAAGTCATCAATGGCTCTGGTTTCTGTTACGCTTTCTTGGGTTTTCAAATTTCAAATTTTATAAGGGTTCTAGGAGGCAAGCCGTTTCAGTTTCGGTTACTCATGTAAGAGTCCATTTTGCCCCCATATGAAACGGCGCCGTTTCAACCATGAAAGTGAACAGATTGTGAATCCACGCGCCGCCTAAATCCAAATGCATTGCAGAACAGAAGCGAAGGGAACAAAATGGAGAAGAAGAGCAGAGTACTGATAATTGGAGCAACTGGAAATTTAGGGTACCATTTAGCACAGTTTAGCCTCCAATTCTGTCACCCAACTTTTATTCTTGTTAGAGACTCTGCTTTCACTGATCTTATCAAACTACAAAAGATAAATACTCTTTGTCATGCTGGTGCCACGGCAGTCAGGGTCTCTCTCTCTCTCCGAATTTTTTTAATAGTGTTTTTCTGGTTTTTTGATGCGGAAAGATTCAATTTTTTGTTTATTTGGTTGTTTTGGTTTGTGGGGATCTCTAGGGGTCTTTGGAGGATGAGAAGAGTCTTGTTGAGGCAGTGAAGCTAGTAGATGTTGTGATATGTTCAATTCCATCCAAACAGGTTCTTGATCAGAAGCTTCTTATCAAAGCTATTAAAAGAGCTGGGTGCATTAAGGTTGTTATTGCTGCTCTCATTTTTTGTTTCTTTTTCATGGTCTTTTTGTTTGCTTCTGCTAAGGACTAACAGTGATGCATTGGTAAAAGAAACTAGAGTACTGATATATATTTGTACAAAATATGAACTTAGTTTGACATAGAAAAACCTAAACGAAGAGCCTAGGAAATTTTGTTCTATATTTATTTACAGCTTTTGTCGTATAGCAATTAGAACATGAATGCGTATGCTAAAAAAAATCGTGTTTCTAATTCCCTTTCCAAGAAAGCTTTATCTTTGCCCAAAACCTGAATTGTTGAGATAATTGGAAATAATGATGGTCTTGCTATTAAACACTGGCAAGCAGTTATCTGAAAGCATAGGCTACTAGAAAAAAGTGGTACAATACAAATAACCAATTTTTATTTACAAGAACTTTGTTGGACAGCTTACGTATATGAAGAACTACTAACTAGACAAATGATCTTGTTTGAACATGCATGACTATATTGTTCCTTTTCATTGAGTTGAATGCACTTCGTTTCTTCTTCTTCTGTGATGTATTTATGTTTGTATCTTTTCTTGTCAAAATTATAAATAGGAAGTCATAGAAATTGCTCCTTGTTCATTTGTTAGTGGAAGTTGTTTATCCAACTGTTAGTTATATACATATTGTTGAAAAGTACCAACAATGAATATACACTCAAAAGCAAATTAAGCATGAAGAAAATTTCTTTGGGAAGTAAAATATGAATTTTGCTCTTTAGCATTCCTGTATGTCTAATGTGATGTATGCTAAGAATATTTGTTAATGGATTTGAGGAGGGAAAGGCAAAGGAATGTAGGAGTCCCTAATTAAAAGCCTGCTTCTCTTGTTCAGTAATATAGATGTGTGTGATAATGGTTACAGAAATTCATTCCGTCAGAATTTGGAGCAGATCCAGATAAGACTCAAATTTCTCACATGGACTACAACTTTTATTCACGGAAGTCTGAGATTCGACGTCTTATAGAAGCTGAGGGCATTTCCTATACTTACATCTGCTGCAACTTATTGATGCGCTATTTACTTCCATCACTAATTCAACCTGGTTTGGAAACTCCACCAAGGGATAAGGTTACAGTGTTTGGAGATGGGAACGTTAAAGGTCCACTACATGAGATCCAAATAAGCAACATATTGTTGATATTCTAGCCTGTTAGGAAGTTATTACCTACGGAATCCTGATAGATGCAGTTTCATTGTAGGTGTCTTTATGAAGGATGAAGATGTTGCGGCCTTCACAATTTGCACAATCGATGATCCACGTACGCTAAACAAGGCGTTATATTTGAGGCCTCCAGGAAATGTCTATTCAATGAATGAGCTGGTCGAGATTTGGGAAAGTAAGATTGGGAAAAAGCTTGAAAAGATTTATGTACCAGAAGACCAACTTCTCATGAAAATCAAAGGTATTAAAAGTTTTATATTGATACGACCTATAGGCTAGACTGCTAGAGTAACTTCTTATTGTTGCACGAATGAAATAAATAATAACATAAACTAAGGTTAATTACTTCTAAAGTTGCTTGTAATTTCCATAATGCCTGTATATAACAATAACTACTTGATCCAAAAATATTTATCTGCATGGTGACTTTAACACGAAGTAATAGCTTCACCTTATAACATGTTCACTATATTTGAAATATTTATTTTGGATTGTGTTCACTTAATGATGATCTAGCTACGAACGTAACTGAACGGAGACAAAAGATTCATATATCCGACCTCAACTAGTCTAGGCTTAGGGCTGTTTTGTCATTGTCTGTCTTATGCTTGGTTATTTCATAAAGCAAACGATTTTAAGAATTCAAAATTTTTTTACGTAAATTATTTTCATTTTCAAAATTTCTTTGTTCCCCTATTTTATGCTTGCTTATTTCTAGCTATTATGATCCCTACTGGTTTGGGATTGAGACTTAGTTGTTGTTGTTGTGTATTGTGTACGCCAATCATTGGGTTGCGGTATTTGTATTAGCTTGTTAGATGCACAGATGATGGACTTGCTTACAATTTATGCAATTTGTGATGGGTTTCTTCTGGACCAATATCAAAAAGAATGCCCTTGTCTTATTTGTTCGTGCTTTTCACCTCCGTCTGATTTATTTGATTTGCTCTTCTTTGTGATCCCAAAATATGTACTTTATAATGTTTATTCCATTCCAGAGACAATTATATTTATACAATTAATCTGACTTTTGCATACTTAAATTGCAGAAACTCCATATCCAGACAACATGATTCTGATCTTTATATACTCGGTCTTTATAAAAGGCGATCACACATATTTTGACATTGAATCTACCGGAGGGGTAGATGGGATGCAACTATACCCACAGCTAAAATACACAACGATCAGCGAATATTTGGAGACCTTAGTGTAACATTGGAGTGATCCTAAGTCCTACTTCAAGCTTCTTTATTTGCTTGCGACCTCTTTGATTTAGGGACTAACAAAGCGGTTATTGAAGCTGATTGAAATGGGAAGAAGAAACATTTGCATAAGAAACTTACTACCCTGTATTAGTAGAACTCTATGTTGTATTATTTGTGTAATGCATAATTAAATTGTTTTTGATAATTAATTCCTTCTGATGGCCGGTACCATGTTGTCCTTTCAATTTCTATAGGTTCTGGTTGATTTAGCTTGAAGTGCTTTACCAATGGCAGACCATTGAGTGCCATGATTCATTAGAAGTTTGTAATAACACATGCACTATGGCTATGAATTGTAATTTTTGGTTTATGAGTAGATAATTGGCTTTTATTTGAAGACGCAAATTGGTTTATATTTATAATATATTGCATTCTGGAAGTCTTATTATTCCAATATGAAATTTCTGTCCTAGCCTTTTGGATTACATGGAGAGGAAATGGTTGGGAAAAGTCTTTAAGTTTACTTGATCTTCCATTCAAACTTGTTGGCTGTCTTATAAACTTTTCCTTTAAGATAGAATATTTATATTCCCATATGAAAAAAATTATGTTGCAAGTGGACTTCCAATCTTCAAGGTAACATAATAAAGAATGGTATTAGATTTGAAGTGATCTAAATTGGGGTCTGGCATTGTTTTCATACTCTATTCAGATATTTTACTTAGTAGATTGAGATTTGAATAATTATACGAGATAAAAAGTATTTTAGTCAAATCAAAAAGTATTTTGTTACTCTAACGTCACGTTTTGAATATTTTAAAAAATAATAAATAGTATTTTTTTTTCATTTTTATCCTCCTTTTCTATTAAAAAAATAAAATAAAATGTCTATTATTTTTTTTTCCAATTTTTCTTTTATTAAGTTAAATGTTATCCTTTTTTTATCATTTCTCAAATTGAACCGAACAGAGCGTCTTTTTCTGGCTCTCTCTTTCTTGTGTTTTTTTAGATTTTGTTTTTAAACCACCGCTGACTGTCTTCTTTGGTCTGCGGTGGTTTCTTTTTATATCTCTCTATCGTTTTTCTTTATTTTATCTAGTTTTCTTTCTAATAATTTCTAAACTAATAATTATTTGGAACAAAATTTGGATTTAGTCTTTTAGATTTGTAGATCTTGAGTGTTTTTGCTATCCTCTTAGTGGGATTATTAATTTTTTCCTTTCATAGGGTTATTCGTCATTGTTGAGGAGTTTTTATATGGATCTTTTATTTCTCAGGTAGTTCGAAAGACAAGATAGATCGTAGGTTGTTTGTAGTTGGAGACTTCAAATCTTCGAGTTTGGGTAAGTTTCTTTTATCAATGGAGTCTGATAGTGCGGTCTGTTCCTCCATTAAAGTTTGGTTATTAAACTCTTTTACGGATATCAATTGTAACAAATTTTCGAAAAAATAATATTCGGAACAATATTTTGAAAGGTTTCTTTTATTGTCCTGTCTCAAAATAGACTAGTTTTTATTTGAAAAATTAATCTCTTCTACAAAGATCAAGAATATCTGCAAACAAAAGATTTCAATTTTTTATATTTGTATTTTTTATTCCTATCGAAATATTATAATGTATTTAATTTATATTCATTATTAATGAATTATTAAGTTTTTTTTTAAAAAAAATTAAATATTATACTAGAAAAGGAGAAAAAAAGTTGTCTAGATGTCAAAAGTAAGCCAAAGTATAAATAATAAAAAGATTTGATATCGTGTTTAATGGGATTAAATCCGAGAACTCTTTTCACATACTCGGTTTGTATCGCTAAATGAGCCTCAACACGTATATATGATCAAGAATATCTGCAAACAAAAGATTTTCAATTTTTTATATTTGTATTCATTCCTATCGAAATATTATAATGTTATGTAATTTATATCATTTATTAATGAATTATTAAGTTTTTTTTTAAAAAAAATTAAATATTATACTAGAAAAGGGAGGAAAAAAAGTTGTCTAGATGTCAAAATAAGCCAAAAGTATAAATAATAAAGATTTGATATCGTGTTTAATTGGGATTAAATCCGAGAACTTCTTTTCAACATACTCGGTTTCTATCGCTAAAATGAGGGGGCCTCAACACGTATTAATTATATATAATATATATATATATATATATATTATATATATATATATATATAGCCTTCTTTCCCGTCCTTTTCCTTCTCTATTTACCCCCTACCTTTTTCCAATTAGTAAGTTAGTATATAGCTTCTTTCCAGTCCTTTTCCTTCTCTATTTACCCCCTCCTTTTCAATTAGTAAGTAGCAATTTTCTATCGTGTTAGTGTTGGATTAGTTGACCACTATATAAACAGAGATTGATTTATTTGTTTAATCTGGATCTACGGCATGTCCATAGTCGAAACCATTGAAAATATGAAAGGAAACCATTGAAAATATGAATTTTTATTGAAATGAAGTATAAATAAATAAATAAAAGAAACCACTGGACAAGTGCACAATCATAGGTATAAACCCATTGCAGGAGGTACTTTCCCTTTCTTCTTAATACTAAATTCAACTTGCTTTTCTTTCATACCAAACCGAACTTTCTTCTTTGACATTTCGTCCTCCATTTGAAGATAATAATTTAAAAAAAAAAAAAAAAAAGAAGACTGCTAATTTTCAGCGTCCATTAACAAGGGCAGGTTCTTTGAACCAGATGCCAAAGCCATGCTATAAGTACTCATTTCCAGCTTCTATATTGACTCACTTATTAATCTAACAATCTCTCACTGTCTTCTAAATCTTTTTCTCTCTTTTACAAAAACTCGCCGGAAAGTTTGAGAAATGGCCTCCAAAAGCAAGATTCTGATCATCGGAGGAACTGGTTACATCGGAAAACATATAGTGGAAGCAAGCGCAAAATCTGGTCATCCAACTTTTGCTCTTGTAAGAGAGTCAACTCTTTCTAGCCCTGCTAAGGCTAACATCATTGAGAATTTCAAGAGCCTGGGCGTCAATTTCTTGATTGTAAGTTCATTTCTTGATTGTAATATAAGAAACAGCTAGCTAGTCTATCAGTTTCTTTCCCTCAACTATTGTTTACTAAATTTTGCAGGGAGATTTATATGATCACGAAAGCTTAGTAAAGGCTTTAAAGCAAGTCGATGTTGTGATCTCTACAGTGGGTCAACTTCAGGTACCTGATCAAGTCAAGATCATAGATGCCATTAAAGAAGCTGGGAACATCAAGGTATGGTTTCTGTTGATCCAACAGCCTGATATCTAGTAGATCTAGATGATTCATATGTTTTTTTTTATAAATATTTTCGAGCAGAGATTCCTTCCTTCAGAGTTTGGAAACGATGTAGATAGAACAAATGCAGTTCAGCCAGTAAAATCAGCATTTGATGACAAAGTTAAGGTTAGAAGAGCCATTGAAGCTTCAGGAATTCCTTATACTTTCGTATCTTCCAACCTTTTTGCTGGCTATGCACTTCCCAATTTGAACCAATTTGGAGCAACTGCTCCTCCAAGAGATAAAGTTGTAATTTTTGGTGATGGAAACGCCAAAGGTAATTTCTTCTTTCTGTCTAAAAAAATAAATTTTCATTTTGTTCAATTGTATATAAATCTTAAGTTGTTTTTTGGTTTGAATTGTACAGCAATTTTCAACAACGAAAATGACATTGGCATTTATACAATAAAAGCTGTGGATGATCCAAGAACCTTGAACAAGATCCTTTACATTAGACCTCCAAACAACATCTACTCTTTCAATGATCTTGTGTCCTTGTGGGAGAGGAAGATTAACGCTACCCTTGAAAGGATCTATGTTCCTGAGGAGCAACTTCTCAAGAATATTCAAGGTTAGTCCTTGATTTTTCTTTCTTTTTTCATAAAATTTTTTCATTAACCAAAATCAATTGCTATGTTTCTAAGATAAATTTGATAAAATGAATAATATGTAACAAGTTTGACATTGTTTGTCTGATTGCTGTGTTGCAGAAGCTGAATTTCCAGTGAACATAATATATGCTTTGGGTCATTCTGTGTATGTGAAGGGAGATCAAACCAACTTTGAGATTGAAGCATCATTTGGAGTTGAAGCTTCAGAGCTTTACCCTGATGTCAAATATACTACTGTGGATGAATACCTTAGTCTCTTCGTCTGAGTTGATCCTTTCAATAATCTCCGGTTGCCATCTTGGGTTTTTCAGTTTCTTTTTTTTCTTTCTTTTAAATGTAATTTCCTTTTTTTAATTTATGCTTTTGGCTTTGTTGTATTTTATGAAAATAAAATGTTATCGCTGTTTTTTTTGCATTGAGCGAGTAAAATTCGACCTTGAATCTATTGTCTTGTTATACATCTATTTACAACTTTGTATGCAAAATGCGTTTAAATATCCAACCTTTAACAAATATCTAAAGTTCTGGATAACAAATATATGGAATTAAAATATAAAATTAATAGTGGAGTTTCTTGGATGACAAAATTAACATGAAAAGAAAAATTGTGTAACACCGCCAACAAGAACTCTTGCTTGAAGAATTTATTGAATACAAATAAAACAAAAAAAAAAAAAAAAAAATAACCTCTTGCTTGGAAGAAATTTATTGAATACAAAAATTAAAAACAAAAAAAAAAAAAAAAAAATTCAAATCTATAACACCACTATCTCCATATATATGAAGTGAAAAACAATTACCATTATTATCCATCAAAAAACACATCCAAGTTTTTTGAAATCAGCATCTTAATCACTCCCTGATTTGAAAAAGAGTATCTCTCATTTAATTATCATAGGGAGTGGACTTTCGGAGGATACCCTTGATAGTTTTAAAAAAAAAAAAAAAAAAGCGGGAAAATAATCTAAATTTGGGAATCATTTAAAAAAAAAAAAAAAAAAAAGGGAAAATAATTCTAAATTTGGATCATTATGTATTAAATAAGACTTTGAAATAGTTAATTGTAAACTAATATGATTGAAAAAGTTCAATTAGATCCCTTTGGCTCATTTACTTTGTTATAAGCAACATAAATCTCATGTTTCAACCTTGTCAAACAAACCAAGAACACAAATAAAAGAAATTTCACAATCAATAATCTTAAAACGAAAAACTATTATCGTAAAAAGTTAACTCATCAATAATCGGCTGACCAACTGATCCGATTATTGGGTTTGGTTCGCCGCCACCTCACTATTATTCTCCCACGGCTAGACCACCAGCAACACAAAGAGCAACACCACCACCGAGATTATGACTAACAAAAAAATGATGCCATAGCTAACCCATTTCCAAGTTTTCTTTTGGTAAACAGTTGCTGTATGCAACTCTTGAGTTCCACCGCGAATGGAAGAGTTGGCTCTCTGCATATTGCTTTCAATGTCATCTAATTCTTCGCCTTGACCTTCCGCCAATACTGCCATGTCCAAGAATACTTTGTGCAGTTCGTTCAGATACTTCTCCATTTCTTGTACTGCATCATGTCTCTCTTGTATTTCATTTATAGTATCCAAAATCCTTCCTTTTCCTTGCTCTTCGATTGCTTTCTCGAGAAAATTCTCACTCTCCCCTGCGATCGTAGAATTTTTTTTGTTCAATCAATATATAACACATTAAAATTTTCAAAATCAAGCACGAGTTACTGACCTGTAGAGATCAAGCGATCCAGCGTCCTCTCATCAGGGTTTTCTCCTGTCACCATATAATACCTCCTATGTACGGTATCTCTATATTCTGTTGATATCTTCTCTCTCAAGCTATTAAAACTCTCCATCGAATCCTTCAGTTTCTTCCTTAACCCGATGACCACAGAAGTCCTGGTCCGATCCGAGGACGACCCAGGTCCACATCCAGGAAATCTCCGGTTAGCCGCATTGGATTGGTCTAGCTCCTCTAGCTGAACTTTGATGAGCTTGGCTTTCTTCAACGCCTCAGCAACGTCACCTTCCATTCGCCGCAGCAAGTCTTTGACGGCATTGGCGGTGTGTAGAGTTTTGCTCTGCTCATTAGCGGATTGAAGGCTGTCGTTGAGCTTCTGCAGCTCTTTTAGCTCGTCGGTAACGGAGTCGACGTCTTCAAAGAACTTGTCGAGATTGATATTGTCAATGAATGGCGTCGTATCCGACATTCTGAGTCAGGTGGTGCTCCTTCGCTGTGCAAGCGATCGAGAGAAAAACCCAGAAGATTAATAATCATTTCTTTCAACTAACGTTCCAACTTTTTTTCTTTTTTCCCTTTTCAAGAGGAAAAGCTGCAGTTGCAATTGTGCTTACCACTTTAATGTTTAAATCTTCCACAACAATTTTGAGCTTTCAATAATATTTTTCACAACTTTACATATACACTAAATATTTAATTTTCTGGAGTATATATTTTTCTTTTTTTTTTTCCTATGTATGCAAAATATGAATTTTTGAATAGAGAGAGGACATACCTTGTTAAATGACTTAAATCTCAACAATATTTGAATCAACTTACATTTTTAATAGACAAAAATATTACTATATAGGAATGAATACCAGTAAAATTTGCATTATTAATACCTAAACCTGTTTAAAAATTTAAACTCCATGCTCCTCTTTAAAAAAAAAAAAAAAAATATTACTATATAGGAATGAATACCAGTAAAATTTGCATTATTAATACCTAAACCTGTTTAAAAATTTAAACTCCATGCTCCTCTTTAAAAAAAAAAAAAAAAATCCATGCTCAGTCTATTAAAAAATAGAAATATTTATGGCTGCAAATCAGTTATTTGTGTAAAGTGGGTTAAGATACGTTAACTCCGCATTCAACATTCCTACAATTACACACGGCCCAAACATTTGATTGTAAATTTTTACATGTACAAACACTCGATTTAAAATGTTTTTTTAGTGAGATACTAAAATAGAAAAAAAAATATATAAAATTCAAACATCAAAGTTATCATTTTCCCAATTTATAATTAGCCATTTAATTTACAATTTCAAATTTTGTTAAAAGCCAAAATCCTCGTTGAAAATTTCCAATCAAATTATATAAAATTGTTTGTTAATAGGAATACTTACTAGGTAGTCCTCAAGATTTTGCTCAAATACACTAGTAAGTACTTCACTTTTTAACATTATAATATTTAATCCTTATATTATAATTTTATTATACTATAAGGTCCAACCATTAGTTTTTTGATCTTAGAATATTAAAAGTAACCTTAAAGATATATTTTATATAGTCCTCATTTGGTGAAAACACTAATAAGAACATAAATTTTCATAATTTTATACTATTTAATCTCTACATGATAATTCTCCTATTATATTTCATAATCAATTTGAAAAATTAATCGTTATACCTAACAGTATAACAGAATTATAATGTAGAAACTAAATAATGTAATGTTAAAATCGAGATCCTTACTGGTATATTTGATAAAAATATAAGCACTATAGCAATTATCCCTTGTTAATATGAAATTTCAAACAAAAAAATAAAAATAAAAGCTAAACCTCATCGAAAATATTCTGTGTCGTTTATTCCTCTGGATCGATTTTAACTCTTTTTCTTCTAGTCGTTTTATGAAACGATTACAACCTTTATAAGTAGAACTTAAACTATGACACTTTCTATCTCAAAATTTTCTATTTAGAAATACGGGCAACACAGCAGGCAAGCATGGAGAACAAGCTATCCTCAGTTGCAAAGACCTTTACTCCTTCGCCCATTCAAGAATTGTCCCAGTTAGCTCAAAGATGCAACGCTATCAACCTTGCCGAAGGCGTCCCCGACTTCCCGGCTCCAACCCACGTGAAAGAGGCCGCCGTTTCCGCCATCAATTCAGACTTCAACCAGTACAGGTACCTTTTCTACTTGTTTTAAACAAATTTGTTTTCTTTCTTCTTTCTAGAACTAATAAAACCGATTGCTGTAAATAAGGCATGTGCAAGGAATTTGTGAGCATTTGGCGAAAAATACGAAAGAAATGCATGGTTTTGATGTTGACCCCAAGACTGACATAGCCATTTGTTGTGGCCAAACTGAGGCATTTGCTGCTGCAGTGTTTGCTGGTTATTTTCTATGCCTAAGTTTTTATGTACATGATAGTAATTCGTTTATTGTGCGAAGAATTTTGGTATTTATCTTTGTTTCTTACTGGTTGCTTTTGGACAGTGGTAGAGCCAGGGGATGAAGTTTTGCTGTTTGACCCTTCATATGAAACATACGAGGCGAGCATTAGAATAGCTGGAGGCATCCCTGTAAGCTTCTGGTTGTCAATCAGTGAGGGTTTTTGATTTTGAATTATAAATTATTGCTTTTTCTTTTTTTTTTTTTTTTTTTTTTTTTTTTTTTTTTTTTTTTTTTTTTTTTTTTTTTTACTTAGAGATGATTGTGAAGTGACATTTGGAAGTTTTAGATGGTTATTTTTTTTTTTTTTTTTTTTTTTTTTTTTTTTTTTTTTTACTAGAGATGATTGTGAGTAGTAACAGTTGGAAGTTTAGAATTGGTTATTATTTACTTAAAATAAATAAATAAACAAACATTTGATGCAGGTATATGTGGGACTGAAGCCTCCTTATTGGACTCTGGATTCAGAGAAATTCATGGGGTCTTTTACTGGCAGAACAAAAGCTGTGATATTAAACAGGTTAGGTTGTTCACTTTTGGGAATTGAAAATTGCATGAACTAGAAATCTCATTTCTTATAGTCCTTTGTCACCCTTAAAAATCTTATCATGTTTGTAATTGATAGAGTGGAGATTCAACTAGGCTTCACTTTTCTAGAGTGTACATGCAGATCATTCTTGTTATTATTCTTTGAATAAAATGCCTAATTTTTGTGGCATTCATAAACTTTTCTGTGGTGCAAGTTTATTCTTGATATTTGTAACCGAAATTAGAATAATAACAACAAATTAAAAAGAAAAATTCAGAACGAACAAGAGAAATATATGTACAATTGGTACATGTATAACATTTCTGTATTTTAGCAAGCAGGCAATTGGCATAAACGAATCTAGACTTCAGAGGAAAATTTATAGCCTCTGCTAGGACACCCATAAAGTGTATAGTCAACCGCCTACTCCAGGTCCATAACCTTTTTTATCACCTGAGGTTCAATCTCTAATTTGGTAGAACTTGGAAAAACAAACTGTAAGAAGATTCAATCTGTTTACTCTAATTTCACAGGATCTCTTTTGAATCATAAAGCTTTTGAATATTTACATCTTACACATGATGGATTTATAACTCTCTGATGTGAAGTGGAACAGTCCTCACAATCCAACTGGGAAAGTTTTCACAAAAGATGAGCTTGAGATCATTGCAGGAGCTTGTTGCAGAAGGGATTGCCTAGCTATAACAGATGAAGTATGACAATCCTTTTGATTACCCTTGTCAATATTAGCTTACCATGAATATCTTACTTGGTGCTACTAACCTTTTGCTCTTTTATCATGTGTATTGAATGTCTCAATTTTCTACCACTAATACTGATCCTCTAAATGATTTATGCCTTAAAAGAGAGTCATGTACAGACTTTTAGCCTCAAGGTACTATTTCATTTATTTAAAAGCAAAAAGAAAAAGGTCCGGTTACAGATACTCTGCTGGATAAATGGGTGTCAATTCATGTATCCAATTTGAGTTGTTTGGCATACTTGGTGAACTTTGTTTGGATGAATGCTGTAATATCAGGAGAGTTTGGTGAATAAAATTTGAACTTGATCAACTGTTGGAGACACAGCTGCAGGAATCATTTGTCCTTGCAACTTTTGTTGCTACCTTTAGGCCTCTTGAAATATTTTTAATTTGGCAGTTGCTGTTTAGAAATGGTAGAGAGGGGAGGAGAACAGATTTCATATCAAATGTGATATAAAATGTGTTGCTAATATCTTATTCAAATACTGCAAGTCTAGAGGATCCACTGTCTTTTCTCATGATGCCGTGATCTTGATGCTGTTTTAACATGATTAAACTTGTGACAAGATGAGTGACTTTCTCAATATCTCAAGGATTTTTTACCTTGCAGGTGTACGAACATATAACATATGACAACAGAAAACATATATCTCTTGCCTCGCTTCCAGGAATGCAAAAGCGGACTATTATTACTTCATCCTTATCAAAAACTTATAGTGTCACAGGTCAAAACCTACATCCTTCCAGATAAGTTGTCCTTCATCTGCACGTGTTATAAAGTTAGTACATGTTATCTCCAAAGCCACATTTGGTTGGCCTTGGAAATGCAAATTGATTTTATCCAGAGATCTCATTCCAATTACATTTTCTGAAAATTAAATATTAATCCCACGGTGAAGTTTAAAAGTTGTACACTTGTGCTTAGAATTAGATATAGTCTTTATCTAAATTCTTATAACATCCCATTACCTTTGTAGAGTGAAGTAACATGCCTTTAGAGTATTAAATAACAAAAACTATCATAGAATTGCACTCTCATTTTTGTGTGTTATCTTTTAGGATGGAGGATTGGGTGGGCAATTGCTCCAGCTTTCTTTGCGTCTGCAATTAGAAACATTCATATTAGACTCACTGATTCTGCTCCAGCACCTTTCCAAGAAGCAGCCTTGAGCGCCTTAAGAAGCCCACCAGAATATTATGAATCGTTGAGAAGAGTAGGTCCTGAAAAGTTTTAGTTCTACTTGGTTTTCTCAAACATATTACCTGTAATACCTTGTTGACTTAGTGATAGCATCCTAATCACTCACATCAATCTTGGGAACTTTAACTATTTGCCAAATTTAAGTTCATCCAGGTGGGGATTAAACGGGGGGAGGACTACCTTCTACTCTTAGGCCAACCCCAAACTGCCTCCAGATGGACCCAAAGAAACAAAGGAATGATAAAACAAATGCAGCATTTTGAGTTGCTGTTTATTACAATATCCTAGCTAATAACTTTTATGTTGTTCAGGATTATGAATCAAAAAGAGATTACATTGTGAAGTTCCTGGCTGAGACTGGTTTTCAGATTCAATTCAAGCCTCAGGGTTCGTTCTTTTTATTTGCAGAGCTTCCTAAACATTCCTCACTTTCTGATGTGAGTGCATGCTTTACTTTCTTGATACGATCATACGAAAAATCCACTGTTGTTGTATTGTTCATTTGGAATCGATATTAGGCCCTCAATTGAAAGCATTTTAAAATTGTTTTTGATAGTGATCATTCTAGCCCCTCTATAATGTTTCCAGCTTGTGGTAATTTGTCATTGTGTCGGTTCAGGTGGAATATGTAAAGGAAATAATAGAACAAGCAGGGGTGGTTGCTGTACCAGGTTGTGGATTCTTTCACTCAAATTTATCTGTGGAGAGATCATGTGAAATAAGTTGTAACTACAGGAAGAGGTACATCAGGTTTGCTTTCTGCAAAAGCAGTTCTACATTGGCTGCTGCAGCAGAAAATCTGGGAAAGCTTCAGATGCTACAGGGTGTTCCAGGCCATGTTGACAGTAGGAGCTAGTAAGCCAACAACAACAAGAACATGATATTCCACTGATCCAAAATGGAGGCTTACAAAACGCCACCGTCTTTTGCTCCTTTTATTGTGATTGGGTAAGCTAAAATAAGAAAGTGTTATGTTTGTTACTATCATAGCTAATGGGAAGGTGAAAAGCGTGAACAAGCAACGTAATGAAAAATTTCATGCGGCCCACGCGGTAAGTTTCTTAGAGCGTTGGATATAATTTGTTGAGTTTAATGATATTTGGAAAAATTATTATTATGTCCCTCTATTATGATCAAACACACTAATCGATCCCTGCTTTTTTCAAATTACATGATTACATCCCCTAAGTTTTGATCCCGTTAGACACTTTAATCCTTCTGTTTTTTTTTTTTTTTTTTTTTTTTTTGATTACATTCCCCTAAGTTTTGATCCCGTAGACACTTTAATCCTTCTGTTTTTTTTTTTTTGTTTTTTTGTTGCGCGTTTTGCTGTGATTTTTTTTTTTTTTTTTGTTTTTTTTGTTGCGCGTTTTGCTGTGAGTCAAACCCTAAAAAGGTGGTCAGATGAAAGGGAGAACTTTTAAAAGACAATATTAACCGTAGCCTTTCCTCTCCAAAAGCAAACAAAGAAAAAGAAAAATATGAAATAAAATTCTTACAGCATTAATTTCTTAGAGCGTTTCATATTTTTTTTAACTGGAATTTGTAAAACGTAATAACGAGGAAGCATTTTCCATATTAAAGCAAATCCAGTAAGTAATACTCATTATTCAAAAAAGAAATACAAAGCGTAAAAAAGAAAAAAAAAAAAAAGAAAAAGAAAAGCCAACACTTATTTCTCATAAGCATCATCTCACAATCACAAAGGCAACAACCGTGAATTGCTTCAGTAGCTGCGGAATTGAGCGAACTAGGCCAACCATTAGCAATCTACTCAACATGCCTTGAGTAGAATTTCAGATTAATGGAATGGGTCCACTTTTGCTGTTAGAGCTTCTCTTGGACTTTTTGTATTGAAAATTGCAATTTTGATGATTCTCACTTGCAGCCTCCTCGTTATTATATGATTGCGTCTATTGCCAGTAGCCATGGCCGGCGGCTAAAAGAGTACACTGTAATGCTCTCACCGAACCATGAAATGGGAGGAGGATGAGGAAGAAGGAAAGATGAAGGTTTGATGATTTTAGTTTGGATGAGGGATATTTTTGACTTTTTAATATAAATTAATAGCAAAAAATTAAAAAATTGACAGAAAGACTTAAGAGTTAGACAAATCAAAACTTAGGAATATAATCATGTATTTTTAAAAAAAAACAGAAATCAACTAGTATATTTGACCATAATAGGAAGACGTAATAGTAATTTTCCCATAATATTTTCCAAGCTAGTAAAAGAATTGTCTTCTACATGTGTATAGATCCACCTCAATTACAAACATTTTTTTTAAATAAAACATTTCAATTATTAACTTTTTACTCTTCTGTTTTCACCTACATCAAAAGTACTGTAAAGAATAGTAAATTTTTATATTAATACAATATATTCTTACACCATTACATTTATTGTTATTACACTTAAACCATTAGATTTAAAACTACTCAACTTACCACCTGCAATGCAAAACAAGTTCTGTGTTGTTAGATTGAGAATATATAATATTTTTTTTAATAACATTGCAAATTCAATAAAGCATTTTGTTGGATCTTTTTAAAATAGTTAAAAATACGAGGATGTGCCTTTATTTAATTATAGTTAATATAATCTTTTATTATGTAATTAAGCTAAATTATTAATTAACTTTTATTTATTTTAAGTATTAAATTATATAAAAAGTATTAAATTATTTAATTAAATCCACTTAAATGGTTGCTTATCAAAATTATTATAGGTAATACTGTAAAATTTGTTCATATTAAATTCATTTTTAAAAATTTTTGTGATTCAAAGATTACTTGACATTTATTTATTTTTCAAAAAAAATATTTAGTTATATTAGAATATAAAATTATACAAATTCAATAAATAATAAGTTATCCCTACATTTTAAAATAAAATTTATTTAAAACTCAAAGTATAAATTTAATTGGTGAGATAACTTTATATAATGAATCTTATAATTATTTCATGTTTTTATCTATGAAATCTTACAAAAATAATAATTTTTAATTTAAAAAATAAAAGTATTACAACAAATAAAAAATTATTAAAGAGAGAAAGAAAAATGGCTAAATAAAAAAAAATATACAATGCTTAATATAACTTATTAAATCCGATTTACATGTATATGTGTCGTTACTAGAAAACATGCTATTGAGTTTACATGAAAATTCGTCATTAATTATTGGATATGTTTAAAATAAAATAAAAATAATTTATAGAGAGAAATAAAATATTTCTATCAATTTTAAAAAATATTTATCCCAAGAGAAATTGAAAAAATGTATATTTAAAAATAATGGCATATAATTTTTTTTCTAAATATGTGATTTAAAAAGAAACTTTTTCTATTAAAAAAAAAAGAAATTTACAAAAAATAAAAGAAAATTACAACTAATCTATCATGTTTACCTGCTATAATAGGTTAATATGACAAACGTCACAAAAAGACAATTTCTCGATCCATATAGAATTTTTGAAATCTGTATTATAGTAATAGCCTAAGTTTTATTCTCACCATAAATTCTCTCAAATTCTATTAAGGGTAGTTTAGTCATTCAATATTATTAAAATTTGAGTTAGTGGTAATGATCGGATCATTTGGATCCATCGATCATTATTGTTTATCAATTTGTCAATCTCAGCAGTATTCTTCAGGTTTCAAAACCATGAAAAATAAATCAATTTTTTTAATTCTCGTAAAAAACAACTTTATCCTTATAAATGGAACGAAAGAAATGATAATTATAAATATATATTGTCTGCTGTTAAAAAAATAATAATTATAAAATGAAAGTGTTTCATTAAATATTATAACATGTCAAGTTTGACTTTTGTATGAATTAAGTTAGTTAAATTATATTTTTTTTATTTAATTTTTCTTTAAGATACACATTAAATGACGATTGATTCATAATTCATTAAGTTTTAAAAATAATGGATGTACTTAAATAGAGGTATATTAAAAAAGTGACTAATAAATAATTTTTAATAAAAAGAAAAAAAATTGAACAATATATTATCTGTTAAAGAAAAATAGGATTACGCTGTGGGGAGAGATGAAAAAGGAAAATATATGGAGTATAAATAGATATGAATTTGGACGGTTTAGTGGGTAGATACATGCCAGGTTGGATCCAATTTTGCTTCGAAACGCATGCTTAATGACTGGATTAATTAAAATTTTAATTAAATTGGCGAGGGTTTGATTCCATTTTTTTATAGATTTTTATTGGTTTCATACTTCATACCATCACTTTTTTTTTTTTTTTTTTTTTTTAATTAAATTTGCAGAGGGTTTTGATTTCCATTTTTTTATAGATTTTTATTGGTTTCATACTTTCATTACCATTCACTTTTTTTTTTTTTTTTTTATTCGATACTGAATCATTTTTTTTTTTTTTTTTTGATTCGATACGGAATCAATTGAGTGTTTGATTGGTTTGATATGAACTTTCCAGAGATAGATATAATTAATAATATACGAATTTAAATTTAATTAAATATTTTTTAATTTTATTAAATTAAATTAAATTCATAAACCGTTACAGAATTTCACTGTTCTTTTTGTTGTTCCTGTAACGCCCAAGACACCAACCGTCCGCACGGGGACAGTTTTCCGTCCAAGAACAAAGAAAGCCTCATAATCTCCACATATCTTCAAACTAACTACGACACAGCAGGAAGGGCATGATAGTAATTTCAAGATCCGTCTTTTTGCTATAAATTTAATTTCATTGTCGTTCAATCAATCTCCATCACCTTATCATTTTTACTACCGTTTTTATTTTTCTTCACCGGAGTTTGATCTATGGCTGAGAAGAGTAAGATTCTGTTCATCGGAGGCACCGGATATATAGGAAAGTATATTGTGGAAGCGAGCGCCAAAGCCGGTCACCCTACTTTTGCTCTAGTGAGAGAATCCAGTCTTTCTGATCCTGCCAAAGCCAAGATCATTGATCATTTCAAGAGCCTTGGCGTCAATTTGGTCAATGTACGTATGCTTTCTCGCCATGTTCTGTTACACTTGAGAGAAAAGAAAATAAGGGAGGAAAGATAATAAAGAGAGAATAATTAGAAAAGGAAAATAATACAAAAAAATTAATTTCTGTTTCTTGTTTGGATGGGATGGGATGGAATGGGAGGATGTTTTACAATTTTAATCCTATTCTTATATATTTGTAGATTATAATAATTTTATATAAATAATTTCACCTTCCTCCGACATGCTTCTTTTCTCTCCAATTTGGAGAGGTTGGAATTTTACGGGGCCAAGAGGAATTTTACAAGTATTTTCTTTTTTTTTTTAAATATTTTTCTTCTATTTCCATTTAGTCACTTTCCTCCAATATTTTGCTCAACTATTTTTTTTTCTCTAATATTTTCTTCCCTTCCAAATATAGTAAGTCCTGTTTGGCTGCCGAGAAAATAAAGTCTGAAATGATCAAAATGAGGATAATTAATTGTGTTTTTTTTAATTGAAAACAGAGAAATACTGTTCATATAATATATTATATTATGCGATCTGTCATGTTATTTTTAAGATTTGATTGATTGAGATGTTTAAACTCTGCAGAAACAACAACTTTACTTGTGTCTTTGAAGCCTTAATTTTAACTAATTAAATATTAGTTGCTTTTTTTTTTTTTTTGTTATTTTCTCACTCTGGTTTGTAATTTTCTTCTCTCTTTTTCCTCCGTTCGTTTTCAACTACAACGGTTTTTTTTTTTTTTTTTTTTTGTAATTTTCTCTCTCTTTTTCCTCGTCGTTTTCCAACTACCAAACGGATATTTTTTTTGTTTGACCAGCAACTACTGTTTCTCTATATTTGTTCGAAAAAAGTACTATGTTTGTATGTGAAATTGGAAACATCATTTGATATTTTCCTATTCTCAGGGTGATCTAAACAATCACGAGAGTTTGGTGAAGGCGATAAAACAGGTGGATGTAGTGATCTCTACTGTAGGTCATTTACAGTTGGCTGATCAAGGCAAGATCATCACCGCCATTAAAGAAGCTGGAAACGTGAAGGTAACAACTAAGAACCCTGTTTGGTTCTTTCTAAATTCTTAGCCTCTCTATTCGTAGTCATTTTCAATTTTTAATTGTCTGGGTTTTACTCCTTTATTGGTGATGTAACCAGGCTACTAGCGACTTATTAAAAAAATTTTTCTTCATGTATGCAGAGATTTTTTCCTTCAGAGTTTGGAAATGATGTGGACCGTGTCCATGCTGTTGAGCCAGCAAAAACAGCATTTGAAACCAAGGCTAAAATACGCCGGGAAATTGAGGCTGCAGGAATTCCTTATAGCTATGTCTCATCCAATTTTTTCGCAGGATACTTCCTCCCCTCTCTGAACCAGCCTGGACTTACAGCTCCTCCAAGAGATAAAGTTGTCATCCTAGGTGATGGAAATCCAAAAGGTAAAATAGACGAACATGTACTTGGAATTGTTCAAAAGCATTGCCTTTAATTTCTAAATTATTAATCTGTCAGTATTGCTGCAACTCCTTATTTGTAGATGTCCCAGAAATTAATGTTCCAAGCGACTAGATAAATGGTATAGCTTTTGATGAAACTGTCAAAATAAATGTTTACTAATGTTTATCTTGATGAACAGCTGTTTTTAACAAGGAAGAGGATATTGGCACCTTCACTATCAAAGCTGTGGATGATCCAAGAACCTTGAACAAAATCCTCTATATCAGACCCCCAAGCAACACCATCTCATTTAATGAACTTGTTTCTCTTTGGGAGAAGAAGATAGGCAAAACCCTTGAAAGGGTCTACGTTCCAGAGGAGCAACTCTTGAAGAATATCCAAGGTATGTTGTTGAAACATGATTTTAATTGGATGTAAAATATGCATATATAGTTATATAATTTAAAAATTTTGAAACGTCTTCCAGAAAGTGCACCTCCAGTAAATGTGATTCTAGCAATCGGACACTCGGTGTTTGTGAAGGGAGATCACACCAACTTTGAGATTGAACCATCATTTGGAGTGGAAGCTTCGGCGCTTTACCCTGATGTGAAATACACTACCGTGGATGAGTACCTGAATCAGTTTGTTTGATAACACAGGACATAACTCATCATCTTAATAAACGATCAGGGATAAGATTGGAACTTTAGTTAAAACTATGTTTATGTTTTACATTCAAGTAACTTCCGTTCATTTACAAATTTAAATTGTCTTGGGGAATGTTGACTTTGTTTACAAATGATCAAAATTTGTATAATAAAAATTGAAATGAATTATATATTTTAAGTTAAATATATCAAATCACACCTAATAATATATTTCATATACAGTGTGATAAAAAATTTAAGTTCCAATTTTTCAATTTGGGAAATGGGTAATCAGATTAAAGAACAGAGTAAATACGAATCTGTATTGCTTCTTCTAGTCAGTTCTTTACTAACTGATACAGATGAGCGATTGTTTAATAAACAAGGTTGTCTTTCAAGATTTTTTAGAATTCCCTTATCCCAGTGTGAAACATGGAAGTTAGGAAGGTAGGTAGGGTTACGAAAAAGATCAAAAAAATGAGAACCAGTACCAAACACTATACACCTAAAATATAGTTTAGTAGGTTTCTTTATAGTTAGAACGTTTGGCCACAAATTCGTAGTTGATGTTTCGAAACAACCAATCAGTTTAATTATAAATAAAGAAAATGCAAACTAACATTCTGTTCCTCATTTGGGCATAAAAAAGAGTGCAAGACAATATAGTTGAATCATTCCATAATTTTGGTTCATTTTACAATAAGATTGATTCATTTTAATTCAAATGTGGTTCTTAATTTTATTAATAACGAGTTTTTATATAATATTCCATTAGACCATTCAGATTCAATAAATGCATTAAAAAATTTATATAAATTTAAAAAATGGAAGTCCCCTATAATTGTATGATTATTCTTAAGATTTTTACAAAGAAAGGGACACATTCGTTGTATGTGGTATATTAATGTTAATTAATCAAAATTAATTATTATGATTTGGATCAAAATTTTATTAAAAGAAATTAAAAAAATATATATGATTTGGATTTTCATTGTTTACAAAAAGATTGTCCTAGTAAATTCAGATGAAATGTCGTATATACCCTTGAATTTGCCAATAGCATTAGGCACTAAAACACCTTTTGACTAGCATCAAATTTGGATTTACTTGCTCTCTCTTAATGTTAATTTCATGTGATAAAACTATAAATTTAATTAAAAATACTTTGGAATACATCTAATGTTAATTTTACATGTGGTAATGCTAAACATATACATATAAAATTTTATCAACATAATTTTAAAAATACTTTTTAAAAGCATATTTAATAATAATCTATATCTAGTTACTCAAATCATATACTCCCTTCCTTCTATTTTATTTATATGGTTTGACAAAACGTCAATATTAAAAATTTAGTCAACAAAAATTATTTTGCATTTTTTTACCCTTCATCACTATAATTTTAATCAGAAACAAAAGTTCAATTCAAAAATTGGCTAATAGACACCTTTCCATAGGCTATAATATCACATACCAAGAAGATCCAAATATTCATTGCCATTCATTCTGACAATTAGTTAAAGCATTACTTCACGACAGAATAAGATACCTCAATAAATATCAGTGCCAAAATTTCAATCTTAACAAGTTCTACCATTCACCTTTCAAACAAAAAAAATTGGAAGACTACAAAATTATGCCTGCAAGAATGCAAAATGTAAGCACTGCAAAATTTCATTCATGCATGGCCATCTTTTTTCCTTTGTTTCCCTTTTTACCGTTCTTAGCTAAGCCCTTTGCAGATCCTTTACCTCTTTGACCCTTCACGTTCTTTCCCTTTTTACCTTTTCCGTTCTTATTCATACCATGTACCCTTGCATCCTTTTTCATCCGTCTATCAACAATGACTTTACCTTTCCCAGCCTTTACTGCAACTCCTTTCTTTGCTACAACGTATTCCTTCTTAGGCCTTTTAGGCGCCGCCTTCTTATATAATTGTTCAATCATCTTACTCTTTGAACGATCAGAGATGTCGGTCTGGTCTGATATACTGTTTGCCTTTTTGCGAACCTTCTCAAGCTTCCTCATTGCCACCCGCTTCTTTCTAGCCTTGGCCTGTGCCACTTTCTTAGCAGGTCGAGCATTTATTTCTTTGAATTGTGCTCGCATTGCAGCAATCTCCTCTTTGGTAATGGGCTTCATTGGTTGGCGGTGTCTTCTCTCTTCTTCCACAAACCATCCAGGCAAGCCCTCGTCATCAAACATATACTTATTGTATGCATCATCAAGCATTTGTTCCCTTTGCTTTTTCCTCAGCATCTTCTTAGCATAAGCCAATATCTCAGCTTTTGTTTCAGCATCATCATCATCAGATTCATCTGAGGATGAATCTTCACTGGAATCTGTAGCTGGGGCAGGGACTATCTCGAAGTCCTCTTGTGCCTTGGAAGTTTGGGGTTGCTTGTGTTTGGAGCCCACAGCAGTTTTTGCTGTCTTCTCTGGAATTGCTAATTTCTTCTCCTGCATATCTACCTCCATTTCAGCTTCACTGTCAGCCATTTCCAAGTCTCCATCCTCTACAGCTTTAGCAAAGACATCCTGATTAAACCATTTGTCTGTTATCTCCTCTTGGGTCGGCAATTCCCCATCATTGAGTGGTACCACAAGAGGATTTGCTTCCTGATCACCTTGTTCTTCATCTGAATCATAATCAGAATTAATAACATTGCCATCATCATCACCCTGCACCAAGCAAGAACATTTAAATACGAGACAGTAAACAACACCATGGAAAACAAAAACTAAGGCAGCATTGCCAAACTTCCACATCAAGACTCTTGTAATACAAAAATGAACTACACACTTTACCAATAAAACAACATAAACTACACAACTGTCGAATAAACTGTAGTTTTTTGGTCTGCTTGACAGAAGACTCAAAGCAAGAAATATCTGAAATTCATGAGTTGACTGCAAGATCTTCATACCTCCACAAGTTGTTCAGAATAAGCCTTCTTTGCACGTTTCCGCTGCTTAGTACTTCCTTCTTTTTTGGTCACAAACCGTTCATATACCTGATCGAGAAACTCTTCCATTTGTTCATCATATCTAATATCAAATTACAAAAAATGACAAATAAGTATAATGCTTAGATTCCTCAAGCAATATCAGAAGTAATGAAAGGATGTTAGAGACAACCTTCTTCGGTCTTCATCAGAGTCTATATCGCTGGACGCATGCTCCTGACCTTCATCATGGGAATCATCATTTTCACTGTCTTCTAAATTACCATTCTCACCATCATATTCAGCAGAATCAACAGCTACGAGATCTTTCTTTCCCTAAGGTAGCCAAAAAGAGAGTCCAAGTACAACAGCTATTGAGTTTATATATTACAAAAATTCCAGAAAGTTCTTCCCAGTAGGGGAGGGGCTGTCATGCATGATAATCATAGTTAATAATTGTACTCAATATTCCAAGAGATAAATCTATCTTCAGACCACTAACAAAGATGAGTAATTTTTATATAATAGAAAAACAAATTAACAAAATGAGAGGGTTTGTCATTCCAGGGTCTGCAAACATTTATCCTCTACAATTAGATGTAGGCATTTCTGCAAAATCATATAGCATCAACCTATTAGAGAGTAACATCATACACAAGAAATTCACTTTTATTTTCAACAAAATCATAGATTCGGTTCAATCAAGAAATCGTATAATTAATTTTTAGATCTCCAGTCTAGCCCATCCTCAAATGAATATTAAATGAGAAAGCAAAAATAAAAACCATTTACCCAACAGATTTTCTCAAACAAAGATTGTTTAATGCCAAACATGTCACCTCCAAACCAGCAATGACACAAATAATCAAAGATCAAGAGAAAAAGTGAAAACAGACCTTGATTGAAGAAAGAGAAAACAACTCAATGTCAGTGTAGCCATCTTCCAACGCATCTATTTGCATTCCAGTTGCCTTCCGAGACTTGTCCTGGAAATATTTTAATATCATGAAGCAACATATATACTACAGCAATCAATAAGCATAACTTAGCATGCAAAATTCAAAACTCAAAACAAGCACAATCTTTTCTTTTCCCATCACAGGTCAAAAAAATGCTAAATCAATCTAAAACATTAATTACAACTTTCTTATATTTGAATATATTCGTGATTTGGAAACCCAACCCTTGACAAGATAAAGCTTTCAACAGGGACATCTTACAAACCTTAGCTCGTCTTTTTGCATCACGTTTCTTAGCTTGCTTCTTCTTCCGCTCTATAGCATAACTCAGCTCTTCCATTTCATTTAGTAATTTATCATCTTCATCCTCCTTATTCTTTTCTTCACCGTCAGTGGAAGTGGCAGTGGCAGTACTACCCTTTTGAGCAGGGGATAGAGCCTTCCTTACTTGCATTCGCCACCTATGTGACAAAACTAATATTAGTAATATTCATGCACTGTGCAGTTACCAAAATATATAACAAATGCTGTGCATAACTTATTAGCCCCTATATATTTCCCTATTTCACTGTTTGCACTAAGCACAATGCTACAAAAGCACCTATATATATAATCACTGTTGTAACAAAGAGTCATCTTTAGTCACAACTCAACAGTGAGCTCAATTTCCAAAAACTTAATCAGATAATCTTTTTTCTTCATTGTTTCATGTCACTTGTGCACTTAATAACTTAAAATACTTATTAAATAGAAACCCAATAAATTCCACCAACATTTCTTTCAGTCTTTAAACGAGTGACCACCTCCTAGTTGAGTCCAATGTAATAAAGGCAGAAATCCAATCACGCAGTTACAGTATAGACGAATTTAACTACATGTCAGATTAGTAAAAATAGGCTAGCCCAAAAGTAATATGAGAACTTATTGTGAAGAAAACAATGGTAAAACAAAAGTCATCTCTAGCCATAAACCAGCATCGTCTTGAGAGAGACAGGAAAGCATCTTAGGCATGCATTTTGGCTTACATATCATCATAAAGTAAAAACAAAGAAGCACAAACCTTAATAAAATATAAATTTAGAACATGACCCAAAAAACCTACTTGTTAGTTTTCCTACCATTACTACTAAAAGAAGAACAACAGTTGCATAAAGGGCCTTTCTATCCAAGAAAAATATTGGGTTACGTTGAGGGCTTCTTCTCTACCTTTGGGCAGGACATAAACTACATCAGTCAGATCGGTAATGGTGTTACCTTGTTAAGTTTCTCTATTAATTGCAAGCTACAGCTTTCAAAAAGCATACCTATAAGACCAAATTAACTACTATAATAACTCTCAGAAAGGAAGTCAAAATTTTGAGAAACTGTCCTAGGTGAAGTAGCTAGCTAATACTTTCAAATGTACCAATTTTCATTTGTTCTTAAAAGCAAGTGTTTCGTGTTATTTGTTGCATAACAAACAAAAAGAAATCATTACTCTCCTTTTTTTTTTATTTGGTGTTGTAGGAGAGAAAATTCATTTTCGCCCGGCATAATCAACAGCTGATTTTTTTTCCACACTGAAAGGGAAGAAAAATCCTTCTGCCTTTTGCCTCATCTAAGTGAAAAAAAGGTAGTATGTGATTTGGCGCACTACAAGCATAAAAAAATGTCCACCGCATAATATAAAATCTAATAAAGAATTGTATATGCCACCAGATCCAAAAGGAATGACAAAGGAAATACAGGTCAACAAAATGTTTTTCTTGAGCTGCCAAAAGAGCAGGAGTCAAGTGACTGCTACAGTGCTACCCATAGGCAGAACCACAAAAAGTAGCTTTAGTATTTTATCCTATTGATGAAATTGCACAGGCTTATTAAAATTCAATGAAAATGGAAGCAAAGAATACGCATCTTACTTCAACAAATGTTTGAAGTCTTGCTTTCCCAAAACACGAAGATCATCACAAAGAGCTTTAACCTGGCCACATGCATAGTTCATTTAGTAGTCAAAACTTGGACAAAATTCAGCGAAAAAGGGAGAAAGAAGAAAGATCACCTCTTCTGTTGTTAAAGCATGATCCCTTATTGTTAAAGAAGCCGGGTCCTCAAAGGCTATAGAAGTAACCGAACCAAGGATCTCAAGAGGCGTGTCAGACCAAACAAAATCAGCAGCTGAAGATATTTTTCTCACAATGCTTTCTCCATCTTCATACCTGTTGTTGGAGTTTACCATAATATAACATACTTGCACATGCATAATTAGGAATTCAATATGTCAACTTCATTTAACAACTTCTCCTGTACTGCCTCATCTAAGGAAGGAATTATGCTACATTTTGAAACATTTTAAAAATATTCACTCAAAAATAGCAAATGCAGGCAACGTACTATTGGATTAAATTGTGAAAAATGAAAAACATTATGTGGCTCTTAAAGACCATCTCAAATTCAATGGCTTACCCATCTCGGTGTCGCTTTTGCTTTGTTCCTCTGAGTACATCTATGACCTACACAAAGGATTCATACAAACAAAATCAAGTTATAACCAGGGAGAAGAAAGATGAAAGGGGCAAGAGAGAATTCGTGAAAAAAGAAAAACCTTTCGCTGTGGTTCTATGGAACCCTGAAATAAATGTTTCACATCAAGAAGACGTGGATCAATCTTTGCTGGTGCCTTGTACTTTAAGCCCACGAGAAAGATTTCTGCAGATGTCGAACGACTTGCAGCTGGTTTATCCACCTCAACCTTTTCAAACAACTGCAAAGGCAAATTAAGAGATAAGAACTGTAGTCCTGAGACCTGAAAACCTAGAGAGATATGACTGGATTTTAAAGAGAAGAAATTTACCTGATTGAGGCAATACATGACCGAATTGTAGTCCTGAGACCTGAAAACCTAAAGTAAAGCAAGAGATAAGAACTATATTCACCCAACAAAAATTCAGAGTTAAACACATCATTCGATGAAATATAGAACCGCTTGTTCCTATGGTTCAAACTGAGTTGTATCAGTTCATTAAGCAAGAGAGGAAAGGATTCATTACCTTTAGCACCACAAAAATATATAGATTAGCAGGCTGAACTGAAATATATAAAACAACATACATAAAAACATCTAAAAATTCTCTCCTCTTTTCTCCCACTTTCTCAATTAAATACCATCCAATCAAAACTATATAAAGTTCATAACTATCTAGCCGATTGAACTATCCGTTGTTCATTTCTGGCAAATAAATCCAATAAAAATAAAACATAGAACGCAAAAGGTTCTCCTTTCTCTTCCAAGTTTCTTAGCAAGCAAACATAATTTAACCAAATACTAAACAAAAAACTTACTTTGGTAACAAAGTTGCCTTTAGGAGCCAAGAACTGCGTAGCCAGTTTCACAGCATCAATTACAAGCGCATTTTGAGCCATAGCTTCTTGCGCCCACGCACCACCAATATTGGGGGAACCATCGTGCAAAACTAAATCAAAAGCCTTAACCCCATTCTCTCCCATAATTTTCTTAATCCTAGCTTTACACTCCGGTTTCGTGATGTCCTGCTCGATAGAAACCGCCCCACGAATAGGCGCAATCTTCACCAAGTCGATGCCAAGGACGAGACTGCCCACTGGCACCCGCTGCACCGCCACCTGCATCCAACCGCCGGGAGCAGCGCAGAGGTCAAGGACGGCGCGGGAGGAGCGGAGGAACTCGAATTTGGAGTCGAGTTGGACGAGCTTCCAAGAGGCACGGGATCGATAGCCATGTTCTTTGGCGAGATGGTAGTATTTGTCCAAACGGTGCTTACCTACCTTAGTTTTGCCCATGGTATATTGAAAGGTGGGGTTTAATTAGGGTTTTCAGTTTAAAGTTCTCTCTGCAGGAACAGAGAGAGAAAATGAAAGGAGGGCGGTCGTTAGAATGGTCGATGTATAAACCCTGCTGAGACAGGGCGTCTCGGGTTTTTTTTTTTCCAAAATATTATAAACTCATAAAATTATATGTAAATAATTATTCAATGGCCAAAGAGATAAATTCACATTTTATTGCGCTAATAATTTTTACTTTCACTTATTAAATATTTTAATTTATAAAATTAAATTTTATTTTTCAAAAAGTAATACTAAGCTTCATTAAATCAAAAAGTAAAATTCAGAAAAACAATTCAACTTTATTTTCACTTATTAAATATTTTAACTTATCAAATTAAATTTTTTTTTTTAGAGTAATATTAAGCTTCATTAAACCAAAGAGTAAAATACAAAAAAAAACAATCTGGAATTAAATCCCACTTATGGACACAGCATAACGGACGGATACTTTTACAAGTGAGTGAATGAACAGTCATATTAACTTGTCTTGGAACCTATTTGATCCTAACATCAGATCTGTGATAGAAAATGTTTACAATCCTCCACATTAAAACCAAAACAAGAATTATCCAACACTAAAATTTAAAGCATGAACTAAAATATGAGAATCTGAAAAAATAATACCCCGTAGGAAGATTCTCTTGAGCAAATTTCAAACATTCCTACATCGCCAAAGCTTCCGAGATTTGAGGATCATTTGGACCCTCATCATAACTAGATTGACCTCGAATAAACCTGCCTTCCTCATCCTCAACCACAATACCATATCCCACCAAGTCCTGTGCAACAAAAATGGAACCATCCACGAAGCAGTTCCATCCATTCGCCACCAGGTCTAGCTGGGGATTGGTTGAACTGGTCCTGAAGCCCTGCCTAGTAGGCCGTTGCTGAGTTGCATCAACGAAGGAGCTGACTCGCCCGACAGCAGGAGCCCGAAGATTTCCAGCATTGCCTAAACGTCCATCACCAACTCCACCACTACAACGCGCATGCACACTCGAAACAGCCCGTCAATCACGCCACACACTGCATGCATTTGCATGAATTTCATTAACAGATAAAAATTTATTCTCCCATGGAAAGACATTACGAGCTTTCCATAATTTGCCATGCTAAGACCACTAGAAGTTCAGCTGTCTCCTTCCCTTTAATGTCCCACACCTGCATCAAAAAATCTGAAAAAGATACTACATGGTTAGTGTCTCCAAAGCCACCCCTTCTCCACACTCCTTGAGCTCTCTCACATGTTAGAAGAACATGACCATCTTCCTCCTTATCACAAAAATAACATTTTTTTATCAATGTTTAGACCTCTATATCTATTCCTCAACCTTTCTCTAGTAGGCAACACATTACGCAAAGCCCGAACACCCAACCACCACACCCTCCCCCACACCTCCCCCTCCCTCCTTACCGGCTCTCTCCCTAGAACCCGTAGACCAACATGGTATCCCGACTTAACACTAAAGAGGTTCATATTAGCTATGTCCCACTTTCTACCTTCCTGGCTAAATAAATCACACACTCTCATATTATGATAAATGAAACCTACCCCATCCTCCACCAAAAATGAACCCTCTCAAGGAATCCAAGGATCCTTCACCCCATTAATCCATGAAATTAAGTTTGCTAAACACTTAAACTTACAAATTATTTTATTAAATATTCTTACTTATAAAATTATATCCATTAAATAGTTATTACATGATTGAAAAATATAAAATTATTACTCCAAAAGGTGGAATAACCACGCATCAATTTAATAGTTTACATATAAAAACTAAAAATATAGAAATTTATTATTATTAGTGTAAAAATATATGTAATATTATTAAAATTCTTAACTTGAAAAGTATAATAGATTATTGGCAAAGTTTAAGGCCCAACAAGATTTTTTTTGTAAGAAGTACAGCCTTAAATCTATATAATTAACAATTATTTAATTATCAATTTAATTGTTGCCACTTGCCACAACTTGTCATTCTTACTAGATAAATACATTGATTATTAAATATTGAGGTTTAAATTTATTCTATTGACTTGCCTAAATTCAGTCTATAAATCAACTTATGAATTAAATGAATAAAAATTAATTTTTACGTTAAAACGAAGTATTTTTGAGTATTCACTAAAAAAAATAAAATGAAAATAATCTTTTAAAAAATATATACTTTGATTAGTTTGGTCGTGCTCATAAACCTGATCTAAGCAAGTTTGTGTCATTGAAAGTATTGGCTAATATACAATTTCACCACCAACTTTGTGACTTGTTATATTTTCACTCCAAAACCACCTTTAGCTCACTAACACCCTAATTACGAGGTTTAAGGATAATAGCATCCCAAAATGAAATTAGAGTTAAAATTATTAATAAAAAATAATAAAAGTGGGTCTCAATTCTACATCTTGGGTTTACTAAACCGAACAACTAACTCAACCTCAAAACTGAACGTTTAACTAAATTTGTCTCGAACAAAAGGCTAACGCCTCTCCTCTTCTTTTCCCTCTCATCGTTCTAACTCCAACAGTCACATTGTACAAACCCTAGCTAATGATCAATCTCATCAAAGCTGTTTCTCCATTGTTTTGAGATGAATATTCATGACATCCTCAAAACTTCTAAACCGACTCGTTAAAAGGGTTGCATATGCTGGCAACAATTCGATGTTTACTGTCGAGCAACATATTCGAGACCATGACCCTTGATGAAGCTTTCCTGTCAAATATAGGTAGTATATAGTTTATGCTTCTATTGCTGTAAAATAAAATATAAAAAAAAAAGAACGGAAAGAAAAAGACCTTGTTGTGTTCTATAATTAGTTTCGAACCGTAAACCATCCTATAAAATTGGGATGGATAATGCATCACCATGGTCGATACTTTTGGTATTTAGTATACATTTTTGATTTGTTTGAATGTTTAGCCTTCTAGGTATGCTGCATTGTTTTTTTTCCTTTATTTTTAAGAGGCTTGATCAGGGAATTTCTTTCGAGTTTGAAGGCATTAATAAATGCTCAGAAGCGTTTAAGTATACGTTTTATAATTGGAAATTACCTTTTTATTGCTGAGACGAGATAAGTGGTGAGGCAGCAGTTTCAATTTTTAATCCATTACCGGTCTATTATTACCTATTTCACGGTTTAATTCGAAGTTTCATGTCATGAATATCCATCCCAAAGCAATGGAGAAACAACTAGGTGGTTGAGATTGATCATTAGCTAGGGTTCATACAATGGAGCTTTTGAAGTTGGAAGGATGAGAGAGAAGAGAAGACGAGAGACTTTTGCTTTTTGTGTGAGACAAATTTCATTAAACGGTGAGTTTTGGGGTTGAGTTAGTTGTTGGGTTAGTAAACACAAGATGTAGGATTGAGATCCATTTTTAAAATCTATTATCTACAAATATACGTTCAGCCACATTACTATTCACAATTTCTATTTATTAAGACATATCAGTTATAATCTATAGTTACATTGAAAATGCTTTGACATTTTGCTAACAGTCTATATTTTTAGTCGAAAAATTGCCAATGTACATGCGTAATTTTTTTAAATAGTAACGACGGATTAGACAATTTTCACTTTCTTTTCTTTTTCTGCGATTTATGTGTTAGGATTTCTATCTCATGTTTATACTTTTTTTACTTTTCTTTTTATAATGTGGAAAATGATACAAGTAGTATGGTATGTATTGTTGATCGTGAAATATTTGATTGCCGTGAATATGCAAATATAAAGTGCTTGTCTGTAGGGTTTTTCAACTGGTTTTGATAATTTTGGAATAAAACATATTTTGAAAAAGATTTTCAAAATTAATCACATTTTACCAATGGATTACCGTCCTATAATTTACAGACAGGATTTTTATATTTACTGTTTGTGAGTTTACGGCGAGATAAAAATCTCCACTATGAATTTCTTCGAACTTCCTTAGTTAAAGAAAGACGACAAAAGAATTGGTCCAAATGGTTATGTTAGTGAGACTGAATATCTTCTCCTTAATGCAAATCCTCAAATCAACCTTACAAAATTCTCTGCATTTTCTGAGAATTTGATAGCGAAAAGTGGATATAAATTAGAGGAGAAGAGAATATAAAGACATATTTAAAAAATATATAAATATTAAGTTTATAACCACTACCTATAGCAATCAGAAAAAGGAAAAACAAATATTAAGTTTTGAATCATGTTTAAAGAAAAATAAATAAAAATAGTACAACAGATCTAAAATGAATGAAAAGAACTAAAAATAGGAGAGTTTTATCTTTCATGGAAGCACAAATAGCACTTTTCTTTAGAAGATTGGATTCGCTGCACACAAAATAGCTCTTCAATCTTCTCTGCTTGACATGTTTTTGTCAGCCAAGCTTAACAGTAGAAAAGGAGTGAAGGAGAGGTAGAGAGGGAACGGAAAACTAAATCAAATGTCTGCTAGCAACAAAACTTCTGATTTGCAAGAAACTTTCACTAACTTCTAATGACAATTTCCATGGGTCTAACAATGAAGAAAACCGAAGAGTTAACTAATAATACTGCACCAAGCAGTTTACATAAGATAATTTTTCAGAAACTTTAACTGAATCTTTCAAATATGCGTATAAACAATAAAGTTTTTACTTCTGCGACATCAGCACCCCGCCATCATAAAATGCCAAGGCATAATTGCAAGTGCATATTTAAATCCACCGTAACATTAATGCATGTCTTCAAAATGAAGAGAAAAAAAAAAAATCAATTATCGCGAATCTTCAGGTCTACACTTTTTTCCATCTGGTCCTTTTCTACAAGTCCTATGAACCGGTCAAGGTTTAGTCCCCACGGGAACCACTGCTACTTGCAGCAGATTTCTTACTGCCATATTTCTGTTGAAGGGATAAAAAACAGAAAGTTATCATATATTCGTTCCGCTAAATTTGCTGTGCTGGCTAGCACAGTAACAAGTCAAAAATAAAAGGCACTTACACGAACATATTCCATGTGAAAAAAAAAAAAGGTTGCTACAAGGCACTTGAGATTTACCTGCTTTCCAATGTTGAAAGGAATATACTTGTATTTGATCATATGTGCAATTTGACGCCTCATTGTAAGGACAAAAAGAACAATCCAGTAACAGAGCAGTATAGGCCAGAAGACGGGAACATCAAACATAGAGAAGAAGGTCATGAAAAATGCTATGCAGAATGCCTTTGTGAAGGAATACCTGGAAACATAACAAAAAAAATGAGATCATTGTCATGCATAGAAATCAAGTACAGATTTGCAAAGCAGCAGATTTAGTTGGCAAAGGGAGATAGTTATCTTAGTTGGCCAAATATTAATAGATTTTACTCAAAAACATTCTTGCAATCTAACCAAATCTGGAAGACAGTGAGGAAATTACCATCATTTAATGCCAAGTTTGCAAGATAACATGAAAGACTCCATATAACTAAAAGTTACTAGTAATGAACAAATTTGAATAAATTGTTTATCACAAAATTCCCAAAAAGCAACTGGCAATCATTCATCAAGGTGAAAAGAATAGCAAACAATGTAACCAACATGAGCATCAAAAGGATAGAAAGAATAAAAAACAGAATGTAACAACACGTCTGAAGGCAAAGTTTTGTTCTAATTTCAACTTCCAATGAGCTGATGGATTTACAAACATGAATTCCTTAAAAATATGTGTGGTAGGCATTTATAAACTGCATAGAACAGATTAGGGAACACTTCCCTTGGTTCTGAGGTGTATGTGACCAGCCATAAGAATGAACCAACAAAGATTTGACATACCATATTGTACAGCTAAACAAAGCAACCAAACAGCATTCATGAAGCAGTTGGTTATCTCCCAGGAACAAGTAAAACTGCCAGTAGATCTAAACCCATGCCAATCACATTTCCTTAAGCGTGCACAAACTGACCTAAGTAAGATGAGCTAATACTATATCTCTGTCAGGCACATGGTTTCTCTTTCCCTTCTGTTGATTGTAATCCGTTTCCAGAGAATACCAAGAACAGTTGTTTCATTTCAAGATAGTTCCACTTCCATCCCAAGATAAAAATAACACACTTAATGCAAATAAACAATGATTATAAGATTAGTTCGGAACCTGCACAATTTTGTTCAACTATAAAAGATATTATTAATGGACAGAATAAGTTGCTGAAACAGTTAAATTACCATACTTCAAGTTAGGTTCTCGCGTTGAAAGAGATAATGCTGCTTATCTGCTTACCAAAAGATAGGCAACATTATTAGAAGCAAAGAGCCTTCCAAATTTCCTAATATGAGACATGCTACTCTGACACAGACTTGTCAAAAACAATCTGCACTATTGTCATGAATACATAAACTACTTTCATTCAAATTATTTATAATAAGCATAAGGTAAAATGAAAGAACTCATCACATTCCTTAGCCAATCAAGTGGGTAATTTCCAAAATGAATTGACCTCAGGCTGTATTCCTGAGGCCCGATTAACCCAAACAAACACTCTTCAAGAAAGTTCAAAATATCCATCACAGGTAAGCTACAGGCAGATCCCACACCATAGGAATGCCCGCCCTTTTACACACAGATAAACTATTCACTCCGCATCTGAATCTAAATTACAGAAATGTATTTTACCAGGACATCATTTGCTTCTCTGCATTTTGTGAAGACAGCTACAGACAATTGCAAACCAAAACTCCTAGACCAACTGATTTTTCCATATATTGGCAGCCAACAAGTATAACTAACCAGTTTGAATATGTTGAATAACTAATAGATACAAGGTCTCATTAACAGGGGCTAGTCATGCTTGCAGTGCATGCCATTGAAGTTGCAATTTTAAACCTCGCATGTTGGTTACCTAGAAACGGCAATGACAAAGATCAACATATCACCACCTTAAGAAAGTTTTCTAAGAGAAATCAGGGACCTCTATAAACATCCACAAATAACTCATTCGCACATTTACTACAATTTACAATTACTGTAATAGGCATACTTCCATATATCTCAAACTACAACATTTCAAATGTCTATCCAAATTTCCCATTTCTCCCCGTACTAAAACCAAAGAATTAATGCATTTTCACTGAAGAATGAAAAGGAAGAAATGGAGTAGGATCATTTTCAAAAAAAAAGAAAGAATCTTTCATTACCAGAATTTGAACTCAGGAAGGCGGCGAATAAATGGCTTGAATTCATCAGAACCCTTCGTAGGCAACAAAGGCCCCTCGGAAGAAGGTTCAAGTTCAGGATCAACCAAAGGTGACAAAAACCCAATAAGCAAATTCAGTAGATATATCCCAAGCCCATAGGAAACAATGTAAAACCCCTGAACATAATAAACCCGCAAACAGTAAATAGCCACTATAACAACTGACCCAATCCACCTATAGACTGCATGTGGTGTAGTCTTATCCAGAAAATACTGATACATCCTCCAAGCATCATGCCCCCATTGGGCTACAGGCGATGCTGCTGAGGCACCCTCACCCCCAATTCCTTCCATTGAATTTAATCTTCACAATCCTAGAAATTTTGTAAATAAAACCAATCAGAAAAAAAGCTGCAAACTCACAGAAGAGCAAAAAATCATACAAAAAAAAAATTATAGATAGCACGAACCAAAACAATGGTCAATAACAAATGAAAAAGAGATGCGCACTCAAATCATGGGCATTTTTTATTAATCATAAAGGTATACACGCAGAAGCATTCATTCAACTGAACCTTCAAAGTCTTAACATACATGTTTCGTTTTCCTAGGATACCAACATGAACCAAATTCAACAACACATTCATAACAAAAAAAAAAATCCAAAAATCAGAATACATAAGAATCAGAACCGAAAAGCTTTACTTTCCCAGCTTTTGATGACCAAAAAAATGTAGCTATTAAGCTTCCATATAAGTGGGTATATTTCATCAATCAAAAACCCAAAACAACAGAAGATCCAAGTCAATAATAACAAAGCTAGGGTTCCAATATACAAATCCAGAAACAGATCTGGAATAAGAAAAGGCCATAATAATCACAAACTCAATACTTCAGAACTGATTGGGGACATTATCAAACGAACAAAAGCACATCTATATATGCATGTACACAGATTCAAAAGAAACATCACAAAATCATAAAAAATCGCATGTGTAAATTGCAAGTAGCAATAAATGAAACGAATTTCAATACCAAAATTGGAAGAGGAAAGAAGCTGACCGTAAATAGACTTGGTATTTTTAAGCTTTATTAGCTTGGACTGTGAGAGGAAAAAAGAGAGAAGGTGAAAGAAATGGAATATTGGAAGCGAAATGTAAGCAGATCTGTAAGTGCCCGTTCTGCGTTTGGACTTTGGAGGACAGGTTCGGTATTTTCGGTATTTTTTTTATTTATAAATTATTTTTTGGAGGTGAAACAAAATGCGAGAGAGAGGATGAGAGGGTTTTTAGTTACTTACCGACAGTGACGCGGTTGAATAGCGGTTGAAAAAAGGTGAGAAAATTATTTGTCTGTGACAGAGTAGAGGTGAAACTCAAACTATGAGAATATAAGATGAGACTTTTCCAAAGCTAATTTAGGAGGAGGATATTCCTCCATTGTATTTTGCCATATGAACAAATTTTCTAATTTTATTAGTTTAATACTCTTTTGGTATATATTATGAATTTTACCAAAAAAAATTATTAGGATTTAATATTAAAATATTGCACGTTGCTTTTAATTAATAAAGGAGAAGACTTAATTTTTTATCTACTATATTAATGTATTAGATAACAAGTAATGTTTTTTATTTTTTTGGGAGGCTCAACCAATTGATAAAACATTATAAGTCATATAACAGGGGTAGCTTTCCTCTTTAATCATCAAATTGATGAAAATCGAGAAATTTAATGAGTAAAGAGGAAAGTTAATTGAGACCTCTTATTATCTATATAAGTAAGAAGATGGATCAAACTATATTTGATCAAACTATATTTGATTGAAGATAAATAAGTAATTGATTTGATTAAAGGATTTAGTTATTACAACATTATTTCATACAAGAACAATTTTATTAGATCCGTGTGAGATGACATATGAGATGCTCATTCAATTCAATACTTAATAGTTTTGTCTTGTCTCCCACTCAGAATGGAACAGCGGCTACTCTGTATATCTTACAAATATGTGTGTTTATACTATTAGAAGGGGAGAGCAAAATTTTCAATTAATACATTTTACTTATTATCTCATTCATTTTTTATTTCTATCAGATATAATTATTATTGATATTCATATACTTGTATTAAAATAAGTATGATTATAATTTAATAGTTAATAATGTTGTTCCGATATACTCTCTATGTTTTCAAATACTTGTCACATTTGTGTATTTCACAAAAAAAAAAAACATTTAATTTGTTTAAGTTACAATAAATTATTAAGTGAATTGACTATATTATCATTAATTTATTATTTGAATGAAAACCATTTAATCAGTGTTAGTCATATACAAAAGGAAAAAATAAAAAGATAATTTATTATTTATTAAATTTATAAATATGACAAGTATTTGGGAACATAATATTTTATCATATATGAAAAGTATTTGAGAAAAGTACAAATGGAGTAAAAACTGATCTTATAAATAATATATTTACTCCTTATATTGAATGTATCAATTTAATAATATTAGAGTCAAGCTTTTAACATTAAGGTTCGTTTGTTTCTGTAAAATAACTTACATATTTTTCATTATTTGGAGTGTCAGGAAAATAAATCAATGGATTTCTTAGTCAAAGGAAAATTAAGCCATTTTTAAAGAAAATGAATTCTCATTTTTAAGAGCGTAAAACATTTGCCGGACTTTGACAAACTTATTATAACTTTATAAATTTATATTTTGTTAATTTATTAATAATCGATAGACACTATCATCACTCACCATTTACCACTATTGGCCACCGTCAACCCCCACCACCGATCATTTGGGACTTTTATAATTTATCATTTTTTACATTATTTTTATATTTAACAATAAAATTTTTAAAACATGCAATTTATATTATTAATTTTTTTATTTTTATGGTCTTATGAGTTAAAAATTTTGCGACCAAACAATGAAACAAGTCATTTTAAAAATATTTTCTTAAATAATTTTCCGGAAACAAAGAAGCCTAAATCATTAATGCAATGGTGTTTATGTTAGTAATAGAAGCTAGCAAGCAAGCTAAGCTAAGGTGACTGCCAAAAAGGAAAATTTTATTGGGCTTTATGGCTAATATTTGTGGGGCTTGAGAAGCTAGTGATTGAAGTTGTAGCCCATTGCATCGTAGGCCTTCCATCCATTATATTTAAGGCTTTATGTTTATCTATATTTCTCAATGGTCAGAGAAAGGCTACCTAGGAAACTTTTCAAAATAAGTTGCTCATAGAAAATTTCTTAAAGGTTCATATTAATTTATATGAACGTAAATTTAAATTTGAGTTTGATCCTTTTCTTTTTTTTGGTATCGATCAACAAAATCAAATAATATTTTTTCGATGTCAATCAAGTGGTGGTTTAATTGGTCGTTTCACTTATATAAAGAATGGAAAGTCTTAAATTCGAGTCTTTTCAACTACAGTTGTCTATAATTGTTTTTACGAATTTGGTGAACGAAAGAGAGAGTTATTCCTATTTGTGTTTATTATTATTTAGTTAAATTTACTTATTGAAATTAATTTAAGTTTAGAATCTTTAAAAAGAATAAATTCAACCATTCAAATGTTCAATTGACTCCTATTTACGTTAAACTATAAAAATATTTAAATTGATTACGTGTTGCTACCTATTTGAAAAGTGGATGTAACAAATACATAGAGTTTTAAATAGAATAAGTGATAGAAATAAATTTTAAAAATAAAAAATGTCTGAATAAAATATATCATCGATAATTTTAACATACATGAATCTTAACTATTATTTCAATTTTTTTTTAAAAAATATAAGACTGTAAATAAGTTGAGTTACTGACTTATTTAGGTTTAATAAATGATCACTCAAATTCATTTTTTATATTTATTTAATTAATTAGTCAAGTTTAAGTTAAGTAAAGTTTGACTCATTTAGGCTCACGTGTCGCTCATTTACAGGTTGTAAGGTCAAGCTCATAGATAATATATTTGAGGTAATGATTTTTTTTATTCAATTATATCATTCGCCTCAACAAAATTTCTATTAAATTTTAATAGAAGATCCAATGGACTTGAGACCTTTGACTTTCTCGTATTCTTTATAAGACATGAGAACGGCGAATTAGACCAATGCTTTATTGAAAATGTTAATATATTATTAGTCTTTTGGTTGTTCAAAAGAAATGCCTTTTTCTACATTTAAATGAAAAGAACGGTCAAAATGGAAATGCAGAGCTTTGTATCAGAAGCTACTGGAGACTAACCAAAGAGCATTGAGATTTAATTGCTGAAATCTTGAAGAAAGGTAAGGAACGGCTCCTCATAAAATTTGTCATAGAAAGTAGGCAACAACTATTTTTAGTCAATTCTATTTATAAATTTATTAAGATAGGTATATTTTGTGGAATTTGGTGTAATTTTATTATTTATTGAATTTGTATAATTAAAATCTTTTTTTTTTCCGTTCCAAATATAAATATATAAATTTTTAAATGAATTTTGTAAAATTTTGTGGAATTCATTTGTTCCAAACAAGATGATTGTTTCTATTTTTATTTTTCTAGTGTAGCAGATTTTGAGTCGGACAGAGAAAGAAGAGAGAGTCGTATATCTAGGAACTATAGCTTATATGTCATCATGATAGAATTTTACATTCCATTTGGAACAAATGAATAATGATTGTAGAATTTATTTACAAATGAATTATAAATATAATTCATTTAAAAATGAATTTATCATGTTTGGTACGCTATAATTTAAAATAGAAAATTCAATTTTATTTATAAAATTATGTTTGGAACAATGAAAATTCATTTGTTTTTATTTTTTAAAAAATACTCTTGATATAATAATTTAATAAATTAAATAACAAACACTAATTATATTTATTATATACAATAACTTTGATTTTTATTAAAATATAAATAATAAAATTGCTATAAATAAATATACTCACATTTTTTCCTATTAATTATATATATATAGAATCATTTGTGCCAAATTTATGCAAGGTTGCAGCAAGAAGTGAACCAATCCCTGCTTTCTTATATCATTCTAGTAATATATTACCAAAAAAAAAAAAAAAAAAACAATACATTTGAGGTTTTGTTAATTAAAATATAAAATAATAAAATTGACTATACTGGGGGTTGTAGATTTCTTTGATTCGGCTTATATTTCGGATTGGTTGGTTAGCTACATCTGTTGGATAGGTTTGATTTCTACACATAAATTATACTCACATTTTCCTATTAATTATATATTATATAGAACAATTTGTGCCAAATTTATGCAAGGTTGCAGCAAGAAGTGAAACCAATCCCTGCTTTCTTATATTCATTCTAGTAATATATTAACCAACCAAACAACAAAAAAAAAAAAAAATACATCACAGTGGAAAAAACGTTTTACTAGAACTGGGCTATGCATTTCTGGATATTTAAAGGAACTAAAAACAGAACAGTTTTGGTCAATATCTTGAAGAATTAAGGGCGGTTTGGTCAAAGAATATTATGGATTGAAGTTGTTCTGGTCAAAATAAATGCTGACGTGGTTAATTTTAATGGCAATTCATCCTTACAAATTCCACAAGCCCGATTTCAATAGAATTTTTGTATTCAAGCATATCCAATTTCTCCATAAGAATCAATTCATAGAATTAAATTTCTTTTTTTTTTTTTTTTTTGTCTCAATTTAACACAAAATCTTGGATTACAATCCAAAACGACTTAAAAGTTCAAACATAAAACATGAAGATAAGACTTTTAAGGCTATCGTTTGGGTTCAATGGTTAACCATCAAATATTTATCCAAACTTTAGGATTTGTACCAAAAATTAACAAATGAACCTTAACCTCTCTGGATCCAATTGCATCTTTTTTTGTAAAAAAAATTGAACTCAAATAGCTAGTTAACTGAAACATGTCTAATTTGGGTTCAATTTTTACAAAAAAATATATAATTGGGTGCAATGAAAGGCGATTAAATTGTTTAAAAAGCTGTAATTGTTACAAACCGTAAAGTTCTGGAGTATATTTGATAGTTAACCCTTTGGTTTAATATTAACAAATTAACAATAATTATGAATGTTTGAGATGAATTTTTTTCTTACTCTTGTAATGTAATGAGTATTAACAATTTGGTACCATCGACTTATAAATGATACATGTAATCATTCCAATCAAAAAAACATATTGTAATTGTCAACATTCCCCGTAACAATCTTTCTGCAAAAAGTTATCATTAAAAATTTTAATCTAAACTCCTAATCAATTTCACTATCAACCCTCTACCCATCAATCACCACCAACTTACCTCATTCTAACCACCGACTGGAGCGCCGCGTCCACCAACTGACTACCACTACCACAGTTACTACTACATC